GTCACTCTACAGGACTGTAACACTAGCTGAATTGCTGTGGCGCTCACATTACACAACTAGGTTTCTTGTCATATGTCGTCGTCTTGTCATAGCAGCGCGCATATACTACACAACACATCGCTGAGGAGGAGGTGCACAAACTACAAGACATGTCAAGACAGAGGCGGTCCCGAGCAACAGCGGAAGTGTCACGCGAGATTTGACCCTTTATACCATCTGCACTGTGATTGGTTGGATTAGTTCCACCTTGTCATTGCATTTCACGCACTACAAGATCACGTGGCGATAATATCAAACAGGTTTGAAAATATCGCTGACCTGCTCATACTTAATGGACATCGGCGACTGCAACGAGCACCGTCTTGACCGCGATCTGCGGGTTTTGTCGTAGACCCCTAGCAAATCCAGCCAAAAGTCATATAGTGTAAGACTGACCAATAGCAAACCACAACCGAACCAATTCCTGATGGACAAAATCAAGTCCAGTCCTACATTTTGTCTTGTTTGGGAAGCGGTTTCATTTGGATATACAAACTCAAGACTAATTCGCTGCTAGTTACTTCAAGCTTTTCCCATGGGTTTTTCAATTAATGAGTAAAATAAAGCCTGTGGTAAACATAACTTGATGATACTTTGACGTTTTCTTCTACCACGTACACTGCACACACTCAAACTCTAAAATGCCCTATCTAGTTACTCTGTACATTTTTAATTTTTCAAAAATAAACACAACTGCTTCATTATTTGCATTTTCGCTATGGGTGTGTGTCATTTTTTCGTAGAACAAAACGTCAAAGTATAGTCAAGTTATGTTTACCACAGGCTTTATTTTACACATAAATCGAAAAACCCCATTATAAAACCCCATAGGAAAATCTCGAAGGAACCAGCGGTGAATTAGACTTCCGGGTTGTCATCCCTGCACCTCTCTACAGGAAAGAAAAGAGTACCACAATGATTGGTCCCACTATAAAATGTATTGCTTCTTTTATTTGCATCTTCTTTTGTCGAACAGCCCAATCACTGTTTAAATCACACTAGCCTGCACCTCTTCAGATGTGGATGAGCAATCAGTGCACAGATCCCACCCCCCACTCAGCCTTCAAGCTATATTGTGTGGACATTAAGCAGAGACACTTTCACCAAAGACAGCAAACAGCAAAGCAAGCATTGCCATTGAGCGCAGAAAAGAAAGAGAGGAAATGATGGAGATGTTGATCTGCAACTGGCCGGTGACCAAAGATAAAAGGAGAATGTGCATCTCTCAAAGAGTATGAGAGCAGACGACACACAATGTTTCTGACCTGCTGTCCTTCAAGAGGGCCTGATGAGCGAGCATCATTTACAAAATACTGCATACTAACAATAATTAAAATGGTCTTTAATTAATAGCTCAAATAAATAGCATTCAAATAAACATTAAAATACATTGATACTTGTATACATTTTATGTCTATATTTTATACAAATACAAACTATAGCATGTAAAATATTAACATGTAAATACTGAATTGTGTGGTCTTCAATTAATAACTCAATTAAATCACAAAGATAATATAAATTATACATTTTCATTTTATTTATATATTTTATACACAAATTATAACATGCAAAATAGTAACATGTTATTTATTATTTTAATTGTATATGTTTCATTTAACATATTTCATGTAATTCACTGTGAAACAATGTTTAATTAGTATTTAATTTATTATTATTTACTTATATTAATAGGCTACTTAAATTGTTACAGTAATATAAATGTATACATATATTAATATAAAAATATATACAAATAAATATCATGCTATATAAAAATATTACCGTACACTATATAATTTTGTGTAAAATAATACAGATCATATCATATTATATGCAAGTATCAGCTGCATCTTTTTTGCAGTAAATTAAATGTATTTCCCACACTGTTTATATTTGTTAGTTACACCAAATAGGTAAAAAAAAAAATCATATTTAAAAAAAAAAAGTTTATATAACATTGTGAAATGTTAGTTTATTAATACCTTCCAATAGTTTTAGAAATCTATATTTATTGTTTCGGCTGCAGAGCTGTATTACATCATGACGACAAACAGCTGCTTCACTCAAGCTACATCATCACACCTACAGCAAACCTCAAATTATGTAATATTATAGTTCACAAAAACGCTCGCGCCTCTGAACTTTTAAAGAAACAAAACACCAGCTGAGTGCATGCTCAGTGGATGACAGGTGCAAATACATAAAGACATGAAAGTTCGAAAACACATGTGAAACAGAAACAGCACTCACCTCTCACGCAGAGGAGAGACATGGCAACCCAAGTTTTTCCTCCTGGATAAATCCTGTCAGTATAATCGAAGTTCTCAGCTGTCCGGTGACATGTCAGATGATGTCACAAGTTGTCTCCTCGTCATGAGCGCACTTCTGAGGGCAAGTTAGATGAAGCTCGGATGCTCGACGGAGTAACTCGGCACTATCCTACAGGTGACGCGTACTGACTCAAATGTCCCATCGCCATGACCAAATTGAATGTGTAGAAACTCACAGGATAAGAGGCGGGGCTTGCAGGGATTTTAATGTCGTCAGAGTTGCCCCTGACCCAGAGGGCGGGGTTTGCTGGACTGTTGACCAATGGATGAGCTAATGGGTGTGGCTTATGGCTGCACCGAGTGAAGGAACAGGTGTGACGCTGGCCTACACAACTTGGGTAAATATTCTTGCCATTCTACTTTATCAGTTATATATATTGTGGAGTGAGATACAGAATTTATCAATGAAAATATTCAGTGCTCAAGACCTCTCTCACTTTTATGGGAAAATGTTGGCTTCACTGAATATCGGCTACTAAAGAGGATGAAAAGTGGGCTACTTTAATTAAATTAAATTAATTAAATTAAATAAATTGATCTATTTTTGACTAAATTTCACATTCTTAAATGCAGCTTTACTAATACAAACCTGCCAGAAGTTTTCTTTAGAAAGTTTTACTTTCTAAGTACATAGAAAGTAGAGACTCTGTTTGTGAGCTCTTCAAAGTATTTATTTGATATCTGATTTATATCTGATTTTTATATTTATATTAATAAACCTGCTGCCATTTCTTTCTTTCTTTCTTTCTTTCTTTCTTTCTTTCTTTCTTTCTTTCTTTCTTTCTTTCTTTCTTTCTTTCTTTCTTTCTTTCTTTCTTTCTTTCTTTTTCTTTCTTTCTTTTTAAAGTTGCATTTTCCCTCTTTTCTTTTGTTTCTTATTTTTTATTTTTGTATACATAATTGTATTATGTTCCAGTTTTAGTTTTGCATCACTTTATTAGTTTATATTAATATTTTAAATCAGTTTTTTTATTTATTTTTTATTTTCCGTTTTCATTTTTATTTAGATTTGTATTTTTAGTAATTTTGTTGTTTTATGCCATTTTATTAGTTTTTAAAAAAAATATATATGTAGTTTTTATTCATTTTTATTTTATTTTAGTTTTAGTTGTTTTAGAACAGGACGTTAAACTAAATTAAAATGAGAAAAAATGCCTTGGCAAATAGCTGAAATAAAATACGTTTTTTTTATTTTACTATTTTATTTCAGTTAACATTGTTTTATTTCCAGTAATGGTTTTAGTTTGAGTTAACTAATAAACCTATTGTTCAATGTTTGCATTTGAACAAAAGTGCATGAATAATGTTAATGTTTATTCAATAACAAAAAATTTATAAATGAATGGACTGTAATGATGGACTATTTGACTGTTGAAATGAAATTAACATTGTCATATTTCCTTTCATTAGTCCATCAGGTGGACGTATGGACGTAAAACAGGATGACAGTCAAAAGTCAACTAATATGGATATTTCTGTTATTTACTCTCCTATTGTGAAACCCTCGTGTGATCCTTTGGTCAAATATGAACAGTGTAAAAAAAACAAAAAAAACAAGTTAAAACAAGTTCAAATTTATAGGCAAAATGTATTTTTATTGTTGTTGTTGGTTTGTAACACAATTTGTGTAATTATTATTTATTTTATTTTATGCATAACTTATTGTATGCATTATTCTGTTATTAGTAAAATAACTTTACATTTTAAATCTACAAATCTCCATTGTGACTGGAGCAGTGTTATAGGATTACTATAATATTAATTATTTATGAATTAGATTTTATTTTTATTTGTATATTTATACTTTTCATTTTAATTATAGTTTAAGTTTTAGTCATGTTATGTGCTTTTGTAATTTATTAATTTTGCGCTGAGATATCTTAAAATACATCAGTGCCATTGTTTTGTCTGGAGATGCACACTAATGTTTTTCATAAGGCAAGTTTATAAAAGCTTAAATGCCCTAATTGCACTAAAGCCTAATCCTGGCTTAATCTAAGCCCTGTCTGTGAAACCGGGCCTATTTAGGGCCCGAGTCCTCAAAAGTCGAAGGCCCTATTGTTTCATTTTATTTCAGCTTTATTTAATTTACGAAAACAATTATTAACATTTTTAGTTTTGCTTGACAATCAAAACACTGGACTGGAGCTGTTGATGTGAGCCCACATTGCACATTCATCGCAACAAATGATAATTTCTCCCAAATTATGCAAAACTAGTTGATGCAGTACAGTAGTTTAGTCGTGTATGTTGTCATGTAGAAAAAAATATTACATCCAAGGGACCTTTTAGCCTAGAAGGCATTTAGCCACATTGCACCCCAGAGAAGTTATATAGCCATATCTTCAATATCTTCTAAGTAAAAGCTGAATTAAAAATATGACTGCCCACTAGTGGCTGAATTTTGAAATACATATAAAATAACAACAACCAGCAATAATAATAATAAGAAGAAGAAGAATAAGAAGCAGAAGAAGAAGAAGAAGAAAAAAAAAAAACTTCCCTTGAAACATTCATAAACATACTGGTGTATACAATTATACGTTATAATTTATTTGAAATATTTCACTCAACGACAGACAGGACGTATTCCCGGAACCATATATTAAAAGCATTTGTTTCCTTCGCAGACCCGGATGTTTGTAATTGACGCACGCTCGTGATGTTGTAACTCTGATTTCCGTAACTGTAAGAGGGTCACGTTTGTAGTGTAAGCTCAGGAAGAGTTCATTCATTTGTTATAGACATCTTCAACATCTGTTTTCACACAGGGTGAAAATGCTGAGGACGGTGGTGTGTCGGGCAGGGAGCGGCCTTTTAAAGGTAACACACGTGTTCTGTAGGACTGTCCCTTCACTGCTTGACACTTCAGCTGAATTCTGTCATGAAGTTCATTTCGAAATTAAATCGATATAAACGAGTTCGTTCGCACGTTTTCTTTCGAGATAATATTCTAAATACGTAATATAAGTATTATGAATTTTTTTGAAGACATTTGACATCAGCTGTTTGTTTCATCAGGCGTGTTACACCCCACATTACATTACTGTGTAACGTTACGTGAACTTCAACTTCAACCCTCATGTGAATGATGGCTGTTGTCAGATATGTTTCATAACTTTTGAATTAAACAAAAAGGTCTTGTAGATGTCAGAATGACTTTATTTGCCATTGCAGAGATACAGCGGAGACACACACACACACACACAAAACAGTACAAATAGTACTAGAAGTAGTAAAGAGAGCTGTACTCACTGATCTATTATATATCTTAATGGTTGTACAAGATTTACTACACAGTGCTCAAAGTTTTAATATTTATTTCTATTTATTTATTTTAAATAAATTGACGTAATTATATATTTATATATAACAAATCGATTAATCGCATCTAAAATAAAGGTTTGTGTATGAATAAATATAATAATATATATGTGTGTGTGTATATATAAAGTATTATAAATTATTCATCAAGCATATTTTTATACATAATATATAATATTCATGCACAATATTATATTATATAAACTCAAACTTTTGATAGATGCGAAAATATCGATTTGACAACACACATATATATATATATATATATATATATATATATATATATATATATATATATATAATATTCCTTTCTTTATTTACTTATCTTATGCAAATATGAAAAAAAAGTTATATATAGTACCGGTCAAAAGTTTGGAAACATTACTATGTTTTAGTATTTCTGTTTTCTCCATGCTCATCAAGCCAACATTTATTTGATCAAAAATACAGAAAAACCTGCAATATTGTGAAATCTTCTATTTTAATATACTTGAAAATATAATTGATTCCTGTGATCAAAGCTGAATATTCAGCATCATTACTCCAGTCTCCATTGTCACATGATCCTTCAGAAATCATTCTATAGATGCTGACTAATTATCAGTGTTGGAAACAGTTGTGCTGCTTAATATTTTTCAAAAATATAAATCTTTTTTAGCATAAGAGACTTTTCAAAAACATTAAAAATAGTAAGGTTTCCAAACTTTTGACCAGAATTGTGTGTGTAATGTGTGTATATATATATATATATATATATATATATATATATATATGTATATAATGTATTTATTTAATTATCGTATTTTTGAAAGCAAATATATATATAACATTTATTTTTGCAGTGTAATTTGCTTTCATATACTACATCTGGTTGCGTTCTCTCTTCTGTGAACAGCATTCGCGTCAAACAGTGCCTGTGTTGTGGGGGACTCGAGCTCAGCAGCGATGGGCCTCCAGCCTTCCCATGAACACTGTGGTTCTGTTCGTTCCCCAGCAGGAGGCTTGGGTAGTGGAGCGGATGGGCCGTTTCCACCGGATCCTGGAACCAGTCAGTTCTCACCTCTTCTCCACCAAAAGCTTCAATATATAGATGAATCACTTCCATTTCAAATATTTGATTTCCCCGCAGGGTCTAAACTTCTTAATTCCAATCTTGGACAGAATTCGATATGTTCAAAGCCTCAAAGAGATCGTGATAGATGTGCCGGAGCAGTCAGCAGTTTCCCTCGGTAAATCACAGGCATTCTGATCTTTTTCACTCCCACTTTTATGGATTATTGAGATGAACTTAATATGATGTTTTGCTTTTAGACAATGTGACCTTGCAGATAGATGGAGTTTTATACCTCAGGATACTGGACCCGTTTAAGGTAAGTACTTTGCTGCTTTATTCCAGTGTTTCTTTAGGCTTGCCTCTCATAATGTGCTGTTGTTCTCGTCTGAAGGCCAGTTATGGCGTGGAGGACCCAGAATATGCCGTCACCCAGCTGGCACAGACCACCATGAGATCAGAGTTGGGAAAACTGACCCTGGACAAAGTGTTTAGGGTATGAACGCCGGGCAATCTGTCAATGACTTAGTATAGTGGATATACCATTCATTTGCGTACTTAAGGATCATTTCGTCCTTTGGCAGGAAAGAGAGTCCCTGAATTCCAATATTGTCCACTCGATAAACCAGGCATCAGATGATTGGGGGATTCGATGTCTTCGATACGAGATCAAAGACATTCACGTTCCTCCACGGGTAAAAGAGTCCATGCAAATGCAGGTATGACGATTTCCTCTTCAACTTGATCTCGTAGACCCAAAGGACTAAAAGGAGCACCTCTAAATCATATGACATGAATGCCGTTCAGGTTGAGGCCGAGAGGAAGAAGAGAGCGACTGTCCTGGAGTCCGAGGGACACAGAGAGGCGGCCATCAATGTGGCGGAGGGGCGCAAACAGTCTCAGATTCTGGCGTCTGAGGGACAGAAGGCCGAACAGATTAACAAAGCTGCTGGTGGGCTTTTTACTCTGGTTTGGAATAATGCTAGCAGTAGAATCAAATGTTGCTGTCAAATCTGAAATTAAAATGAAACCAAAATGATCTTATTGTAAACAATTCATGGTATAACTTGCCCCACCTCTGAACTGGATTTCTTTTTTGGCTGATGTCAACAGGGTTGTTATCGTAAACTAAAACCATAAAAAATTATTTCATTGCTTGAAATAAAAATAAACGTTAATGGTAATATTGAATGTGAATTATTTCAGCTATTTATTATTTCTCTTTTTTGTATAGTTTAAGTTGAAGTACTAAAATAATAAAAAATAAACTTAAACAGAAAAGTACTGTTTATAGACATATGTCTATAAACAGTACTTTTCCGTTGTATATGTAATATAATATATATATATATATATATATATATATATATATATATATATATAAATTAAAAATGACTAAACAAAATGACTGAATTTAAAATAAATGAAAACAAACAAATATAAAAATAAAATCACATTTAAAATGTTATATTAATATTATAATATACTAATATAAGTTACATATAAGTATATAAATTATGCTAATAGAACACTTGTCAGTTTTTACATTGAATAACGTTTCACTTGGAAATGCATTTTTTTACATTCTTATTGATTTATAATACATTTATTTATAATAATACAAATTACTGTTATGATAACAGATATTAGCAAACAAATTTAAATAAATTGTGAAATAATTGTTGTTAAATTTGTAATTGTTTTATTTATATTATTATGACGAAATATAACAAACATTTTTCTTCTTATTTTTAAATAATGCAAATGTATATTAATTATATGTTCATAATTAAATGAATGATTGAATATTCATAATCCTCACTGACGTATCACTGATCTTTCCCCCTGTGCAGGAGAAGCAAATGCTGTTTTGGCTAAAGCTGAGGCCAAGGCCAAAGCCATCCGGCTGCTGTCCGAGGCGCTCACTCTGCAGGTACAGCTCAATCACACCTATAAACATGACACTGTATCCCTAGCAGAGAGGAAATCCATTCTTCCGTCATTCAGCTGTGACAAATATAGTGAGTTTAGAGTGTTTAACATTATAAAGCATCTTGTTGATGTCTCATAACTGTACAGAATGGAAATGCTGCGGCATCGTTAAGTGTGGCCGAACAGTACGTCTCTGCTTTCTCCAACCTGGCCAAGGAGTCCAACACCATCTTGCTGCCCTCGAACACAGGAGACATCAGCAGCATGGTCACTCAGGTAGGACTTCATTCTGCACCCGGCTAAAGTTAGGAATAATTATGATTCATTGTTTTTGAACAAAGTCTCTTTTGTTCACCAAGGCTGCATTTATTTGATCAAAAATACAACAAAGGCAGTAATTTTGTGAAATATTATTTTCAATTTAAAATAACTTTGATATATTCTAAAGGTGCATTTTGTAATATCTGTTGAATATAACAATTATTCGTTAATTATTCGTTTTACTGAATAATTAAGTAAACATAATTTCTTAGTTTATCTTTGTAAAGAAACCTCATTGCTTAACTGGCTACTCTCTGCTGACGACGACATATTTTCCTGTCGGCCACCGTAACTTCTGTTGGTTGCAATTCGCAACCTCACCACTACATGCCACTAAAATTACACACTGCACCTTTAAACTAATTTATTCCTGTGATCAAAGCTGAATTTTCAGCATCATTACTCCAGTCTGCAGTGTCACATGATCATTCAGAAACCAGTCTAATATGCTGTTATTAATTATTTTAAATTATAATTAAATTTTTGAAAATATTACTGCCATTACAGTAATAGACAACTTTTAAAATCATTAAATCTGAATTATTTTTTAAATCTTTTGACCGCTAGTGTATATATGGCACATAAAATATCCTAATAATTAGAATCATTTTTAGTTTACATGTATTCCTCATTGTTCTCTACCGTCTTCAGGCCATGACGATTTATGGGAATTTATCAAAGACACGAGCTCCGAGCACAGCAGACATCGCGACCCCCGAGGCCTGGGAAGCAAATACAGTGTCTGAAACTGAAACTGCACAGAAAGAGGTTTGAGTCTCATTCTGGGACAAAAGACACAAACTGATACCGATTCTGTTTGTAGAGGACTGATGTGATAATAAAATTGTGATGATAAAATACCTGAAGCACTATGGTGTTCTGTAATAACTACACAAAGATTTTATTGTGTGTGTTATGTTTTGTTTCTGTCTGTTATAATAAGTCTGGGATGTTTTGTTTCTAGTTCTTGTAAAATTAAAGGCCCTTCACCATTATTCAAAGGTCTCTGCTATTCACATTTTCAATAAAAAAAATTTTTAAACAAGTAGTAATATTCATGAGATTCAAATTAATTGCAAATGAATGAATTGATGAACTGCAGAACACTGGTAAATGTTCTATGGCTGTATACAGCTTTTTCCAAATCAATGTATTTTGAGAGAGTTAAGGTACGCCATATTAGCGAAATTTCTGTGAAATATTTCATGGGCGAAAAAGGTCCATTGTCTGTTGTCAATTGTAGAAGCATGCAGGTGCGCTTGTGTACACTGTTCACTTAGGGAGGACAAACTTAAATTCACTAGGGCTTCCCCCGCGTGTGGTGGCTTGCTACTAAACAGAATGCCAGGGCTGTTTCTTATATGGATGAAGGGTGGTGTGATGGGTCGTGGTCTCACATCATATCAGTTCTGATGCGTACCCCGAGGTAAAATCCTGCAGGCGCCTCTGGAAGCACAGGTCACACAGACGTCACTTTCACACTAGGCAGGTTTATGTTGTTGGTCAATGCAGAGAATTTGCGTGACCAACTTCAATTTGTTGCGAAACCTGCGAAATTCCTGATGGCATGGCGTCCTATTGAAATGACTGGATTTTGCTTGTGAAAATTCACCGAACAACAGCAGCTTTACACATCTGTCCATACAATAGAAAATAAATATTTAATTCGTGAATAATTCAGAGCTATAGCTACTTTTAAATGGTTTTAAGTAGAGGATTGTGTATGTATATTTTGCTAAACAAATTGTTAAATAAACCAAATAGTGATCAAGACTAGATAATTTCGTAATTTTGACTTTTTCCTGAAAATTGTGAGATATAAACTCACAATTTTCTTTGGCCGCAATTGCGAGTTTAGGGACCTTTCTCAATCTGTGTTCTTGTCTGTACTTGTGTTCTTGTGAAACGTCATCTTTTGTGGCCCAAGTACTGTCCCAATACACAAGTTTGCATTTTGGCAAGAACGGTTAAAAATCCCGGATGTGTTCTTGACACGCCCATTTTACCGAGGATGCATCGGTTGGTAACTTGTGTGAACTTGACGGCAGAAATATCCCAGCATTCAATTCGGCATTCGAGGAACGAGAGGCAGGTCAATACAGTAATTCATTTTTCTACAATTACGCACGCTATTTCATCACTAAATTCAGTTCTGAGAACATTTGATGCGAGAAATCAACTGTGTAGATTTCAAATATTGGCATTTTTACGAAAATTTACGGCTAATCGAAAATGTGCTCAAACGTTTTCGGAGGTCAGAATCTCCATAAGCGCCTGAGGGTGTTAAGTTAGCTAGCGAGCCAACCGGCCTGTTTGCTCTCAGACTCGTTTTAACCCTCCGTCAAGAGACCATTGCAGCCTGGCTGTTATCGTCAATAATTCTCGTTATGTTTGGGTACTGCAGACGGTGTCTGTGCGGGGTTTTTATTGCGCAATACCAGCAAGAACACATCGTCTCAAACTGTCAGCAGCGTTCTGTGTGCTCGTCACCTTGTGAGTTCATTCTTCCAAGAACAACTAGCAAGACCTTTTTCCCGAAGAACACAAGTCTGTTCTTTGCATTCTTGGTTTTGAGAAACACCCTATATCTCGCAATTCTAACTTTTTTTGTGTGTCCCCAGAATTTACTCTAGATTAACTTTTTAAAAATTGTATTTCCCTGGCGGAAACTTGGAAAACATGGAGTTAAAACCTTTGTCATATACACTAATTACCACTAACACAAACATTAAGTATATATGTAATTGTTAAAACTGGACAAAATAATATATTTAATCACATTTTAAAAGACATTAACCTTTATTGGAATTGTAAAAATGATTTAATCTTCAATCAACAAAGTTCTCCATCTTAAAGGTGCAGTGTTTATTTTTTAGCGACATCTAGCGGTTCGGTTGCGAGTTGCACTAATGGCTCAGCCCACTGCTCACCCCTCCCTTTCGAAGAAGCTACGGTGGCTAAAACGGGACAAACATATCGTCGTCTGAGACAGCAGAGAATAGCCAGAGTAAACCAAGAGTGTGTAACATTGTCACTGTTTCTGTACACAGTCCATTATAAACCACATCATGGATAAAGTTTACAAAGCCATAGTCAGGTGAGGATCAATGGTCTTAATATAATAATAGTAATCAGCTGATTGTCTCACAAACATAACCAGCACATTTCTCCCCACATAGCAAACCCATAATACAGCGAGGGAGAAGAACCACATGAAACTATGCAACTATATATTTTTTTCTAACAGGGTAGTAAAAGTTTAGCTGGCTAATATGAGCTGTTACTGTGGCTGAGCTGGTTCAAGCGTAAAGCCTTGTTTAAACTCGACGCGTCCGCATGAGCCCAAAGGTGCGCGCGGCAAAAATGGCATGATTGTAACAGCGCACGCGCCTCCGCATCCCCTAGACACCCTTTACTACACACAATAGGCTTTTTTTCTCTGATTTTGAAAACTCTTCGCGATCGACTTAAAATGCTTCCAAGATCGACTTGTCGACCGCGATCGACGGGTTGGTGATTCCTGAAACTTTACTGTTTTACGGTCAATGACAAGAGTACTAATCAGCTGTCTCACGAACGTAACCAGCACATTTATCCCCACATAGCAAAGCCATAACACCGCGAGGGAGAAGAACTAAGTTACATGAAACAATCCAACTACATATTTTACACCACTGACAAGGGAAAAGTCACTACTAACGGTGTTTATGGCTGGCTTCTAGCTTTCTGCTGCTTCTCTTTCAAGGTATAGGCGGTGGGCCGGACCTCGAAATTACGAATTTAATACTTACCTCACAGCTGTGTAAGTCTTTTTTTGCGGAGGTCATGTAATAAAAAAGTACTACAGACATTGTTTCCAACTTTGTTGTATGCACATTTGACGCAAAATGTCCTTACAAACTCTTACCCTTTTAAACCGGCAAATAAGCAGGAGTGCTAATCATTTTAGAAAACCTCCCGTTTCCTTGACAACCAATGTTAATAATGAACACAGATTCTAGAGTGGAGGCAGTAATCTTTGTCGGTGACCAGGGGCTGGTTGCACCAGCTGTGCGTAAGTTACAACTTAGCCTAGTTTTGACGCAAATGGGCACTAAGTTACAACTTACGCACTACTAAATGTTTTTACGTTGCACCATTAAACTTACCGGTATGTTACAACTCTGCCTCTTTTCGTCAACAATAAAACGAAATATGTTATAAAACACCACTCTGCCTCTTTTCATTTAAACATAGCAGCCTATGGCCATGTGGTTCAGGCAACGCGTGCATTATCTTCACTACATATATTTATTGTCAGAAAGTCCGTCCCGGAACGGAAAACAGCCAGCGGTTTCTGACGGACTTATATCATAGTTGCTACTTCCAGCAGACTGATGCAATCATAGACATCATGCAATAGCCAGTTCCAGCTGTTCTCTCCCAGATATCGTTCAATGTTGTGCGTTCATGCAACAAATATCACAACACAACATGATTACATCATATAACTTTACCTACCATCCTGAGACTGTAAATGGATGTCACTTACTGCCTGACAAGTGTTATTAAAGAGAAGTTTGATGAAGATATACTTCTCCCGCGCCTGATTCTCTTACCGGAATCACTGTCCATAATTGTCCGCCTACAGAACTGTAAATTCACAAAGGTTGCCAGAGGTGCTACTCAACTAAACCTTACGAAGACAGAGCTACTTGTGGTCCCGGCCAACCCAACACTTCATCACAACTTCTCCATTCAGCTAGGCTCGTCATCCATAACTCCATCAAGGTCAGCTAAGAACCTTGGGGTTGTAATTGATGATCAGTTGAAATTCACAGACCACATTGATAGAACTGCCCGGTCCTGCAGATTTGCCTTGCACAACATTAGGAGGATCAGGCCCTTCCTTACAGAGCATGCCACACAACTCCTCGTCCAAGCACTTGTTTTATCCAGACTGGACTATTGTAATGCTCTCCTGGCTGGTCTTCCAGCTTGCTCTGTCAAACCTCTACAATTGATCCAGAATGCTGCAGCCAGAGTAGTCTTCAATGAGCCGAAGAGAGCACACGTCACTCCTCTCCTCACACAATTGCACTGGTTGCCAGTTGCCGCTCGCATTAAATTCAAGGCACTGACGTTTGCCTACAGAACAACCACTGGCACTGCTCCCTCTTACCTAAACTCATTACTTCAGACTTATGTGCCATCCAGAAACCTGCGCTCTGCTAGCGAATGTCGTCTTGTGGTACCATCTCAAAGAGGCACAAAATCTCTTTCTCTGACCTTTACCATGGCTGTTCCCTGTTGGTGGAATGATCTGCCTAACTCAACCAGAGCTTCTGAGTCAGTAGCCACTTTCAAGAAACTGCTGAAGACATATCTTTTTCGACAGCACTTGATTCAGTAGAATTAACACTTTCTCTTCTCTTCTATTCTATAAAAAAAAAAAAAAAAAAAAACCTGCACTAAGATTAAACTGAGAGGGGTTATAGCACTTACGTATTGTTGTCCTACTGTTAGTCTAACTGCTTCTATTGTTCTCATTTGTAAGTCGCTTTGGATAAAAGCGTCTGCTAAATGAATAAATGTAAATGTAAATGTACTCTGCAACATTTATAACAACATGAACATGATCTTTTTGTTTTCATTTTAAAAATATGAAACATTATTGATTTTTATTGACATTTAACAAACAGAGACAGGGTTGTGTCATTTTATTTTATTGTACATATAGTGAAGAGAATGTTAAAATAAATATAAAATATATATATATTTTAAAGTATGTCTCTTTTTGTTAAATGTCAGTTTTAATGATTAATAATATCTACAATGATAAATAAGGCAAATTCAAACATAAGTAAGCTCTCAAATAGGCTACAAAGTTAAAGTTAAATAGCCTAAATATATAAAGTTATGAAACTTCACTTTGCCCTCAGCCAAAAATATTTTCACTCTATTCACAGAGAGTACAGTAGCTGAAAAAGCTGTATTGGCATTTAACTTAAATTCC